ATTTAGTTTTGTATGGATGACACCTATGTCTGTCGACTCATTACGTTATAGTGACGTTAGTTGTATTGTAAACCGTTTTGTATGTGACGTAGAGGTTACATTCGATCAAGAGCAATGCAGTATATACATACAGCGTCCGGTAGCTGCGTCCGGTCTTTTCGTACCACCAAAAAAGGTGCGAACATACGTTATTTATAGTCGTGACTCGTGACGAATGCTTGCGTCGTCCTCAACGGATTCATTTATTTTCAGAATGAGGGAGAGAGGCGTAGGAGTCGTGAATTTAAATGCATACTGAGTAATTTAGAGTGATACTGGTGGGTCGAGTCTAAAAAGTAAAAAAATAAGTGACTCTACCAACAGCGTTTTTAAAGTTCAAGGCAAATAACAAATACAAACGTCCAAACGCAAATTAATGCAATTGAAGGCATCGGTTCCGCACGATTGAGTGGTGCAGCAGTGGCCGGCTGCGGCAATGCGTCGGCGTCGGTAGCGCGACATTGGCACAATTCTGCGCGACCTCACCACACTTGACGCCACGCGTGGCGCGGCCGAGGCCACTAAAAATGCTCGAAAACTAGATACCGCTTCTATTCGGAATTCCGGCACGCCTGATTCATTCGGCTAATTTTGTACTAGATACGCCATCATTCATTTCACCTAAACGGCCACACCCGCGCAAAACAGCGACGACACGTGCCAACTACGCAATGCGGAGTATCCCACCTTGTTGCCTGTTGTTACTAACCAAACAATAGCTCTCACGAGGTACGTATGCACCAAAAGTTATACAACTGACGAAACCGAGACATACGGGTGGATTACCGTGCGCCCGGAATTATGCAAATACATCGTCGTAATGTAGCAGGCTTGCTTCACACTTTAGTAACTTGGTTTCAAAACGTTTTCAAAATAATCGGCGTAGGCGCACAGGTAAGCTCGTTGATCGACTGCTGCTCTACTGGCGACAGCCTCAGGCGGAATTTAAGTGCACGATATCATATTGCATGCATTTTATTAAATTGTATTGGAGTCATCGCGTGTAGAAGAGACGTGTTTAAACAATTTTAACTAAAGTTCTAATTTAGAAGGAGATTTAGTGGCAGCCGGTGGCCGGGCTGGTATGCGACGCGGCGGCGTCTACCGGGTGGCGAGGCGCGCGTCTATCGCGGACCAATTTGGCACATCCGCTGGCGAGCGCCAGCGCAAGAACGTAAATATCCGCGCAGACGTGCGAATTATCAACCCAACGTATCACAAGCAAATAAAATCTATATTACCTACATAGATAAATTTCATGCGCCGAAGTGCATCTCAAATAAATATATCTCAAGATCACCACCATATTCATGATCACGTTCACATTTTACCGTAGCCACAAATATATCTAGTTGCGTAATCAAATGCCGTTGTAAAACATTCATTGTTTGCCGTATATTCAAATCAGAGTTAGAACTTCGTTACGCAAAAAGTTGGGTTTTGTTTTGTTACCTGCAACGATTCGAAGATATTATTTTGGCGCAGAGTAGGCGGGATGGGTCGGAACAATGCGGCGACGACAATTTTTATACCTGAGATTGTTTACAAAGGATACTACGTAACTACGAGACCATCTCAGTGCAAGTTACTGGCACCACAAAGTCTGCGATGCCATGTCGGTAAAGGACGTCTTACAATATACCTATTGTAAAGTTTGCGTAGCGAATTAAAAAAGCTGTAGTGGACAATAGCCAGTTACGCCATGTGAATATATTTCCGGCTCGTAGTGTCGCATCGGTAATACAAAAATTAAGAACGCATTATTCTAACAAAGAGAGTTTATATTCAAACATCCGGCTTTCCGTCATAAAGTTTGGACGATGAGAATATATTTATGTGTATTTATTCTAAACTTACGTAATTTTATTAATCTATTAATTGATTCCTGATATTTTTCAGTACATATACTTTAAATTAAATTTTAGTGCACTGTAGCGTATCATAAGCGACAATCTTATGGGCGTAAACTAGCTCTACCTGCTGTGTTATCGGATAAAATCTTACTCGATTTCCTACCCCAAAGCACAACGCCCGGATGTGCTGCTCGAGATTTCTCCGAATAGTTTCAAATGAATCTCTCGTTTACTATTTGCTATAAGTAACACGTGGTAATAGAGAAAGTTGATTCTGTTATCCAATGGCTATTGCTATCACTCTCGATCAAACGACTTTGAAGAACACACTGTAACGGATTTATAACCTGAATTTTGAGACAACTAACCTATTAATTGTCCGATAGCAAATTTATGTAATAATTAATTAATGGAATACTTAATTAAATAAATTTATATGCCTATATTTGGCGAAAACACTTCTTATTGGTCAATTTCTATTTTGTTAATATATAAAAATTATCATATCAAAGACTGGCCTTATAGAGTTTGAAGAAGAAAAAGTTTATTTATGTCAAAGGACACGAGAAACTACCCAAGTGTTAGGAAAATTCGCTTCAAAGCGTCAAAGGAGCGCGGAATCAATATTAATGTTCTTGTTTACCTTTGAGTCGGGATGTAGATCGCGGCATCCCGCCCGATGGCTCGAATTTATAATCAGGGGTGCCTTTATATCGCGACTCGGGACGTGAGAACGGAGTTCGAAGGGCGGGACACTTGCTCATGTTGCACCTTCTCAATGAACTATTCGACCATTCTCACGATTGCAAAGAACAGCTGTATACAGTAATGACCAGCGCGACATGTGGATAATCATTTGATTTTATTAGGGTTAAGCAAGGTTATCCGTTCGTTTACTAAATGCAAATTAAATATTGTTATTCAACAGATGAACTACGAATTTCATTCAAAAGTAAGGGTCGACCGTTGTGTTCATATTTTTAGGCATGACATTAATAGTTATTGGGAAGTAGTTTGGTTGAAACAGCTGTTTGACCTACAGATGAGTATCCGCTAATGTCCAGAGAGCAAAAAATAACATTTCCGAGATATCACAGACATGTGGTAGAATTAGGAAGACATCTGTAATATTAATAATATAGAAATGTTGTATAAAAATACAGTTTTAAAGTATATGTACAGTATATTTTTGAATGTTTCATCATTAATATTTATTGCCAAAACTTATTATGGTCTCTGTCTAAGTTTGTCTTTAGCTGAACAGTTTCTTTTTAATAAATGCAAAACATTCCACCTTTGAGTAGAAACTTCAGCAAAGGCTTCCCAAGTCGTGGCAGTGCTCTGCTATTGCAAAGGGTAAAGCAAAAGTTTTACATTTGAGGCACGGTCGCGGTGCTTCCCGTTCCGCATCGTGAACCGACGCTTTTGACAACATTCGCTTTGATGACGCGATGTTGAAAAGAGTATTAAATTTTACCTTTTTCCTGTCTATCTGTCCATTCTGAAAAGGTACCGAATTAAAGCCATTGCGTGTATATGGATATAACTTTCATATTTATTTACATATTTGTGCTCCACTATTAATAGGTTCTCTTTTTGAGTTTAAATCGTAGCTTATCAACTGCGCCATAGTCCAGTAACAACTTATTATAATTTATATTTGCGCAGTGCGAATGTCACCAGGGGCGAACAGGGGCGAACGTCTCGACAAAGGTCAAAGAAACGATTATTGTAAAGTCAAGTACTGGTGGGTGTGGGGGCGTAACTAAAATTGGTTGATCCGTCAGAATGATGCAATGTACACTGAAACTTGATTATTGCTGTGAGTATATAATTTACACCTAATAAATAAATGTAACAAAAATATAAAAATTTTATATACAGCAGTTTTGGTTTTGGGTTACAAAAAATAGATACACTGTTTGTAGAGATTACAATCTCATCAAATGTTCTATTCTTATTATATTAACAATCGCTTGAAGTATGGACAGGTGAATAGAATTTATTTTAAATACCCTGAAGAATGTTGTATTCGTTAATAAGATATGTGGTAAGGGGTGCATAAAATAATCTATTCACTTTTTTTAGGGTTAACTGGGATCACCTGAGCGGGTGAGGATAGCGCAGGTACCTGTATGATTATGGTTTACGAAATGTGGATAGGGGTGGGTGATCAGTTATGATGGTAGAGTGCCAATGAACATGTTGGCCACAATACTATGCAGTACGCGAACGTTTTGCCGCGAACCCTTGACCCGAATGCGGTGCGCGCAGTATTGTACACGCAGCAATGACACCGTTCGCCTTGAGCTGCTAGCATTGCCGGAGATATTTGCAACAATGGAGGCCAGATAACATTTCATAAGTTTGAAAATCCGTTAGTTCCTATCGGCTGCCGGTTGTAATTAATAAATTTATTTTGTAATCTTATTGTTGACAAAGTAATTGTTCTTAACATGGCATACATTTTAGTAACCATTCAAACTAATTATATTTAATCAGCTCGTCTATGCATTACTCATTTATAGGATGCAGTGGCGACGAGTTACTGGCGCCTGTGTTGGTTATCGTCGATGCACTTCTGCGACAGTACGTAGTTTATAACGAGAATGCCAACTACTGTCATTAAGTCGACAAGCACCGCATGTAAATTATCATAATGAATGCGTCGATACTACTTATCGCACCAGTTCGAAAGAACGAAGCGCTGTTGACTCATGAGGAGGAAATAACGCGCGCTACTTAAAAATATAAAGAGCAAGCACTTCCGTTTCCTTTCTGAACTTTTTGTCTTTAAAAATCGTGTTTCTCACGATCGATCTCTCCAGTGGGCACATCAGCGTAATAAAAAATACGAAGGAAGCAATCGATCATGGGCGAAACGAACGATTGCTGGAGATATCAGTTGCAACGGGACCATTGCGTCAGATATTTCATTGGCAAAATTTAGCACACGGCAATCGGAATCGCGGCCGACGGACTCCGGCTGCGTTTCGCTGCTATATTAGGAGATAATGTCGAGCATTGTAAATTATCTACCTGTAATTTCTCTAGTTTTAATTTTGCCAAAGAAACAGTAGTTATAGATGTGAAATTAAGTCGACTCACCTTTGTGGATCAGCGAAAACGAATTTTCTCAATTTTAGATCTCGTAACACGATGCCTTGTTCATGACAAGCAGCGACAGTTTCAGCCATTTGCCTGAACAATCTTCGAGCTTCGTGCTCTCGTAGCCTTTTTCGCGCTCTCACATATGAGTGGAGATCGGAATGGGATCTTGGAAAAATTAGGTACACCCTCTTATCGCCGACTAGAACTTCATGTATGGGATTAACGTGCGGATGCCCATCGAGGCGGTAGTGGGCTTGAAGTAAGCTGCTACAATCTCTCGACACCACCTATAGGACAAAAATGACGTACGTGAGCAACACAACGTAGGTAGTATAAATCACCTACTCAATCAACCAAAAAGCTCTTGCGCTTGATGTCATCAAGTTATTATTAAATTTCTGAAGGTTTTAGCTTCGAGGTCTTTTCCAGGAAACCGTATGAAAGTTTTTCCTTAACTTGCTTATTGTTACATTATGGGGTCAAAGCTATTTCCATGCCTTAATGACCTAGTTTACTTTGATTGCGTGACTGATGCTGCTTTACCATTGTTATAATTTAACACTGATGTTGTTGTGATTAGATGTGTTAAACCCTAAAACACACGGTAACTCATTGAGAAATTTAAGAGATAGTTTACACATACTAAGTGTAGTTTAGTATTAATAAATGTAATAGTAACTTTTTTTAGCAATATCAACATTACGAAAATAATTCAATATTAAATTAGAATAGTTTATAAATATACATGCAAAGCATTTCAAAGCAACTGTAATTGAAAAGGTTCGCCTTGTGATTTCTGAATAAACCAGGTTGAAATATTTTAGTGAATAGCTGACCCTTCTTCAAATACAGGTCTCTAGTTTCGATACATTTGGAAAGAGAGTATTAATCTACATTATGTGTTACTACGATATTTAATAAACAAGATCTTTTCAATAATACATAATTTAATAAGTATTGCCTTAAATTACATGTACTGTATGATAATGTAGAGGTATAAAAACTACTAGGGTTTATTGATCCTTAGCCATGCTTTTATTTTAGGCCGGCACGAGTGTCATCGACATTACCGGTGAAACTAAACTAAATCAGAATTTCCAACTCACAAATGATGAATCACGTTGCGTGCCGCCGACAATTTCTTTTTTCTTCATAAACTACGAGTATTAATAGTTATTCTAAAACATCCCAGACCAATCGGCGCGGCACACCAATTTAGATTACCGAGAGTCTTGTATAAAAATAAAACATGACCCATTTGTAGATGTATTTGCGAATAAAATATGTTGTTAATACCATTCATGATAAGAATTCGCGACGTTGACAGAGCACTTGATAAAATTTAGTTTTATATGCGTTTTACGGGAGCTAACCTACTTATTGTTATCGATATTTGTTTAATCACAGTACGGCTAAATATTGTTAAACGTGTTGTTAAATTTTCAAATAAATACACGATTGCCAATAGTTACAAAAAAACATACACACACATCAACATTATTATAAAAAGTAATATAGGTTTAGAATCTGGTAATTACTAATGGGCACTATGTAGAGAAACTGGAATAAAATTATTAAGTCCGGTTTGAAGTCGATGCTATAGGTTAAGTGTTTATTCCAGGGCCGCTGGACGGTTACGTTTGAATAAAATCTACATGAACAATATCGAATTGTTATGCACATTCTGTTATTGTCTTCGACTGCCTACATTTCAAGATTCTAGTAACTGAATAACGGTTATTACGATTGTTTGCAGATTGATGGTATACTTAATACGATACCGTTACTACAATTCGATAGCGTTGAAGTTGTATCTCCGGTTACATCGTTGCTATTAAAGACAAATGTAAAGAAACTGCTATGAATGTCGATCGCGTTGCTTGGCTTGCGGTCTCGTGGTGCACGAGTGGGGCGCTCAGCGGAGGGGGGCCCGCTAGCCTCGCTGTGACATTCGGCGATCGGCACGTTATCAACTCGTCTATTTCACAATGTCAATGAGAAGGTCACGCCTATATTCGGGTCGTACCGCGAGCACGTGTGTTATTATCAGTTACTATAACTCTGTTGCGTGGCTTTGTTTGATTAAATAACGCTGCCAATGTAGCAAATTTATGTTTCATTTATATCATACAAGAAATTGTAAAAAAATTTATTATGACTAAATTTATACAGAGCAGTAAATTATAATGTAATGATAAAAATTACGGTCAAACAGGGAATGTTGTCCTTTTCGACAAACAAAGAAGAGCTTAAAACGTATATGGAGAACGTTTAAAATGAAACAATGACAATATAATTTTATTCTGCGGAAGATGAATAAGGCAAGGGTCGTAAACAAGTTGCGTAGGCCGGGTACAACACACGGCGTATGTTGTACATAGTTACAAATGTGGCAGTCGTGTCGGCAAGAATCGGTGTTGTAAATACGCTCGGCGTTTAGCAACACACCGTTGCCTCACTTAACCTTGCCAGGTTCTCACGAGGTACAGCCTATTCTGCGCCTTGACAATACCAGCCTAAGCCTTTGTTAGGCTGGAACTATGTATCCTGTATTGCCTAAAATTCATATGCCTAAAGTTAATGACAACTCATTTATATGGTAGCTATTCTGAGTAACCAGCAACCACACAGCTAAGAATCAATGACATTTATGAGTGATTGGGTGACTAATTTTTAGAATAAATCTCAACCAATGATGAATCTGAAAATATATCTCTCTTAACTGGTCGCTAACCATCTAAACAGAGTATCCTTTTAAACAAGTATATTTGATTAAAATAACTGTACGGTATGATGGAATTTATACATGATATACATAAGCTATCACGACACATGGCACAACGGGCATGCAATAACTGGTAATCAATAAAAATGTTATAAAACTGAACCTTATTCTTCTGTATTAAAGTTCAGTATCATTATGCCTCAAACAAATAGAGTGGCCAGTGTCACCAAAATTCGGATCTGAGAACCCCGTACACATTGGACAGATGAATGTTTTATCAATTATAACGTTTATAATAACACAGTTTTTAATGGATTGCGAAAGCTGTGTACATGACATTGTATACTTGCGATGGTTGTGGCCTACAAGTGCGTTCGAGCATCACGGGACCGTGACATATAAAGAGGTATCACCGGTGAGGTCTGATGCGACGAACAATGCACGCGAGGTTTATGAAAAACAGGTATTATTCTGTTAATTGTTTAAATAACAGCTAAGCAGTAGTCATTACTTAGTACAGTCATCCTCGTATAGATGGTATCATTCATTGTTCGGTTCGTATAGTCAATGCTAACTTAGGAGACATTAAATGTAATGCACACAAATCTTTCGCGAACCACATTCCAATTCTAAATAATGTATTAGAATGCTTTTTTTCTAGGTCGATGTGGTCACGGTCGTATCTTTTGAGGTGAGGAAGTATTGTAGTTGATTAATTGTTTCTAATAAATAAACTTACTGACATTATTGACCAACTATGTCACCTGGTAGATTATGTGTGACTGTACTTAATAATTGCGTGTCTAGTTTTACGAAGAATGATGTTGACTATACAAACTACTAAGGTAATAATAAGTATAATTATGATTTATAAGGTAAGATTATTATATTTAAAGTAATTGTAAAATAAAATGTAAGAGGATTAAAATTTATGCGAACCATACAATTTTATATAAATATAAACCAAACGATGAAATTGTAATATTACATCCTCTATTCGACATGCATATTAAACTGCAGAGTATTCAAAATGAATCATAATACTATCGCAGAAAAGTAGTTATTTGAACGCCTTAGAGCGAGGGCAACATTTAAATTGATATAGCATTTGTGAAAAATAAGATAATTGCAAAGAATGCGACACGCCATGTGGGTACATTATTGAGTGCTTGGCTTATCGCTCCATGGGGTCTAAATCCCGTGGGATAAAAGGAACCCTTCTAAATCCTACACTGGTGTACATCGAGCTGTTTAATTACATTAAATATCAATAATATTTTAAGAAACGTTTTTGAGAAAGTTTGGAAATGCGTGATAACGTCTAAAGGGATACAAAAAGTCTTTCAATACTTAACAGATTTTTAGAGTCTGTAAAGTATGGGCAGATGAAGTTGTGGGCACTAATAGGCAATTAATAAATAACTATTTTTAGACCCATGATGTAATACATAAATATACATTTATAAAAAGATGTTCACTTTCGTTCTTTTTATGACACTAACTAAGTAACTTCGAAATTAATGATAACTTATCTTGCAATTGGACCTCTGTGCTGGCCATTACAACTTAATATTTGCAACGATTTAAGTAAATTTCTAACCATTATAATCCATAATATATATTATATATTATGAATATTATGTTATGTATTGTGAATATTATGTTATTATATAATACATACTGACAATTGTTATACTCAGTAATTTTCTTTTTTTTTTTAATTCGGAGGTATTGAGGTTCCAGAATAGTTAATTGATTGTCTAATTAACTAAAGGTTAAATTTAAACAAGAGATTACACTCTGTATCAATATAACAAAGCAGACAAATGTTGAAATTTGCCATATTTCGACACCCTACATGACATACCTCGCTGGGTATCCGAAATGATTAATTACGTGTCTATGACAAAAGCTTTGTTAATGGACACTGTCATAGACAAGATTTTTTATGAGTATGCAATTATCTTTTTGATGTATTTGTACGGTTTATGTATAATATCAAATCTGCATTATACATGCAGATTTGATCAGCTTGATTTTTTTTACTTTTTTTAAATGTGCTATCCCTATTAGGTTAACCTCCACATTGTTCACCTTTGAAAAAATCATGGATAAATAAGATAATGGATAATGGCGTAGTGAATTTGACAGTAATTGACCTGACTTCATCCTTCACTAGTACCCCGCCAGCGTATACCGTTAGCACAGGCGGATGCCCCATTCCATTATCATCTATTAAAAGAACACAAACGTAATTTTATTACCTATTATTCGATGAAAGGATATACTTAGTGCGATTAGATAAGTTTTGTAAAGGAAATCTATGAATTATAAGTAATTAGTTACAGAGATATGTTATATTAAGCTCATTAAATCAATTATCTAATAAAAAAAGATTCAAGTACCGACGACATCGTAAATAAGTATCGACTTAATAATAATAATAGTTAATGAAGGGATTAGAATGTAACACGTTTTGAAAATTATACGATTTGTTATGTTGGCAAATATAATAAAAGAAAAAGGTTTAAGAAATGAAAAGGTTAAATTAGGTACATCTTAAACAAAGAGCAAGAAAAAAGTCAAGAGGGATCACCCGGATCACTGTACACGTCACAATAGCCGCAAAACAGTGATAATAAGAAATGAATACACGCACACATTTTTGTTCATGCTTATTTTGACGACTGTAAACGTGTTGAAGTTTTTAGTTGAATTAAAAAAAATATTTACTTATAGTAACGTTAATATGTATATGTGGCCAGTTAACAAATTAATAAAGGTTATTAATTACATTTTATCATAATATAAATATATAAATGTGTATTTTTTTATATTACGATATAATCTGCGACGTTGATGAATAATAACTTGACGTAATTAAATGAAACATTACATGTCTATTATAACAATGTCTTTATTGTATATAATAATAAAATATAGATTAAAATTAGTACATTCCTAATTCACATATTTATAGAAAATGACTTCACTTATGTTGTATTATTCCCTCTTGACATTTTACTTGTTCTGAGATCATATATTGACATTGAGTAAAGATAAGTAGGTATTGCCACCTACTTCATTGTGAGTCTGACGTTTTTTGATGGATAACAACACATTTAATAATATGGATATAGTTTTATAAACACTTTAGAAATAGTAGTGATTGAGGAAAATATAGAAATGTTGGCAGAAATCCGATTTAATGTTCGATATTATCAAGTTGAAAATCGTTTGTTAACTTTATCAAACCACAAACAAACTTATAAAAGTATGTATTAGGTTAGGTAGATACGTACCTATCTATGCGTTTTTTCTTCCTATTTTGATAAGAATGGCTATACGTATTATGACACAGCAGACAGGTATTTACTAATAAAATTTGGCGTACACTATATTAATATAAATAGATTCCAACTTAAAACACGAATTACAGTAGGTCAACATATTATTTTAGTTAGATACTTAAGCCAGTTGTATTTTAAAAATTAAAAGTAATTAGTCCTGGAAAAACTGTTTCTTACGACATATTAAGATAGTATATTACTAGGATTTATATAAATTATCTTGAACAGATGATTCGTTTAGAACAGTCATGATAGGCTTATTTTATGCGATCGATCGAGTCTAGTGATAAGATCAAGAACAAAGACTTAGAAAGAATTGTCAGAAGTTACATAAGTTACCTGAATATCTGAAACATACTATCTGAATACCTACTAAAAGGCACGTTAGTAGGTTGCTATGCTACCTATGTGCTATTCCTACTACACATAAAGACAGACAGACATCCCCAACAATGTCTGTATGTATAAGAAATGTCCAGAGATTAAGTATAGTGAATTCACACTACGCACAAAGTAGTTTCCGCATAAATTTTCCTCAATTCGTGCAATCGTGTTTTGTTTAATTTTCGAAGAAGTTATTTTGATGTTGCGTTAGGATTTATTTTACGTGAAATGTGAATGTTACATAGATTACAGATTGCAAAACCAGACTATAGTACCTACGTATTATCTACTATAAGTTGTCCTTGCCTCGAAAGTTAAACTAGTTTAGCAAGATATCTGTATGTACTTACTTTACAGACATATTCCTCTTGTGTGCGCACGTCCACACATCGGCATAAGGATGAACCTTCCACTTGTTCTAGTAAGAGGTACTTTTCAGCTACGAGAGCCGCTTGGAACTGATGCGGAGGGGGGGCAGGGCTACTGGGCGCCGGACTGCTCGGGGAGGATGCCACTGACAGCCGTTCCGCAAGGGCTGGCGACTGCGACCTTTCCTCCGCCTTACTATGCTCCCCACTTGTCACCGGCACTGTCACTGCCGGCTTGCTCATACGCAGCGGCCATAACAGCGAAGGCGATCCCGGATCCATCACAAACACAACACTGTCACACTAAGTTCACAACACAACACAAAACACTTAAAACAATGAGGAACTACGATGAGATGTACATGATCTGCAACAAACAATCCCCATTAGAAACTTATACTTGACCGTCTTTGCGAATTTATTGCGAACACAAAGTTACAAAACATAAACGAAACGACTACTACGCTACGAGACAATCGTCGATTTAGTAACGTTATTTAGTAAGGGGAAATTACGAATGAAGTACGAACCTTGAAATGATTCGCCCTGAGTGGATATCGTACCAAAATTTGACTGTCCGTGGCGATGACTACTTTAATTAAGTTGCGTAAAAGAATTACAGGAAGTTTTTTCGTGTAATTCGAGCAGGAGTAGACAGGCCAATATTTTGGGCCGGTGTCCGCTCGGGTTGATGTTAAACTAAACGAACACACGACTAACTCCTAGTAACGCCATTGCGAGACTGACTGCGAGTTGCCGTTTTCGGCGTCACGGTGGCGTTCGGTGTACGTCAGTGCTCGCGAAGCCTCGCTCGGGCCGGCAACCGAACCAACGTCCAATGTCGACACAGCGTCAGCTTGCGTAGTACGAGAGACTACGCCATGCGTTCTGTAGATGCAACTACAATATATTGCCTATCTCTTTCTAAAGCATAGCAATGTCGTTACATAGACGAGGAAAGAATGTCACCATTCATTTACGTTTTGCAATAATTATATTTATTTCATCAATTTTTTCAAGAACCAGTAGGTAATTGTTGATTTTTTATTATTTTATAAGTGATAAGAATTTAAAAGGTAATGAATGTAGCGTAGTGTGCTCCACAATAAATTTACCAAGTTGTAGGTAACTTTTTATCTAAATACTATGCCAGTGTAATATTTGACTACCTACATATATTTATAATGCGCTGTTGGCGACCGGCTGCCGCAACCTCTTTTGATACTTTTATTATTTTTAAATCTATATTTTTAGAACAGTTATTTTTATACGTCATGTTTTTTGATACATTTCAATCATTCTATTATTGTCTTTCGTATAGTTCGCAATTGCACATATTAATATATTATATTATTGCAAACTACGTGTATTCATCATTTAGACACCCATACAGTCCACCGATCCGTTACATGCGTGTAAAATAATTATTTGTGGTATAGTAAAATGATAATTTAATTCACGGGTAGAAATACGAGTAATACTCTTGTAGTAAAATACCTCAAACTTTAAACTTCGTCACTAAATCAATTGAATTTATTAGCAATAAACGCAACATTATTTGAAATTTGAATAACTACCTATCTATCTAATACAATACGAGTCGTTTCCATTTATGTTCGTATGAACAGTAAAGATATTATTATACCAGTATCTCAGGACTTTACCTATCAAATAGTGAAATAATTTTTCATATAGGTACCTAGTTGACCTACCTACAAGGAACTCACTCCACCTATGTGAAAACCTAATTCCGGAGATCAGTCATCACATGATATACACCAAAATTTAGCATTTAAAATCTGTGTTACAGTTGTTTTAACTATATTCCTCAATTTACAGTTAGATATATCTATATCTATCTATATATAAATGTATATTAATGTAAAAATAAACGATCTACCTGTCACGCTTCTTCTAAATCGTGATTCAGTAACTAACGAGTTGCATTTATTGTGTAAGTGTATGTACATATAAAATCCTTTATTATTGCACAAAATTTCACAAATAAATAAAAATATATGTAACATTTCAATATACACACTAAGAAATAGCAACATATTACATGTTGATGACACAATAAAAAATGATAGACGATGATGAATAAATCTAATGGAAAGTTTGATCATCATTCACAAAACATGAAAGAGACGCTGAGTCATCGATGATTTGCATTCATCGATTTTTGCATTACATGTGATAGTGATGACATATATGTAAGTACTTTATTTATTTTTATCTAAAAATATAACGGTTATTAGGTTACTAGGTACTTTCCTATGTTTAATAAACAGATAAAGTACAGCACGGGCATATAAAAAAAATATATGAGGTATAATAAATAAGGTAATAACCTATGTTATTTTTCAGGCTGTAAAATAATATTTTAAATCAGTGCAGTTGTTCATCTTTACCTTCCTAGTTTTCTCACAAGAATAGGGCGTAATTTTGACAATCACTGATTCGACTTTCTTAAAAATATATTTATACAAAAAATAATATGAAGTTAAACGTTAAGTTTTAAGTAATATATAAGTACATATTTTTTCTTATATTTAATTTCTTTAATAGTCATGTATTCCACTCATACACCACCTACTTTATTTTTTTGTAAACGCTCTTTCTAAAGGAAGAGATTGCATTAGCGATAAGACCGCGTCTTGCACCTAGTTTTACTTTTAATATTTTAATTTTGTTCATGTCCTTTCAATTCTTATGCAATAAAGAGTAAATAATAGATTATAAATATTTTTTAATTAGATTTAAAGAATAATTTTATTCGGACGACGGATATAATTAAATTATAATCAGATAAAAAAAAAATTCCGAACTTGGAAACATAAGTAAAATTGACTAGTGAAAAGAGGCCTAATGAGTATAAAGCAGTACAGAACAGAAAATGTCTACAAATTCAATATAGTACACGGAAGTAAAGTTCATCAGTGTAAAAGAGGCCTAATATGGATAAAAGACAGGAGCCCAGTGTTGGTACTTGATTTGATTTACGGGAGTTTATTTACATTGCATCTTAAGTTTATGTAGGCGGTGCGCGGTGGCTACCCCGCGGGCACACAATAATGCTCGCCTTTTATTTTAAATAGTTCGCCAATTTATAAGGTACACAGCAATCTAAACTTTATGGGGTTATAGTTGAGACAGAAAATGTAATAACGACATCATTGCGCTCCCCTTCATAAAAAGTTGCACACAATGGGCAGTAACACTGCATACTTTCTGTATACGTGTAAAATCTTATTGAAGGAAACAAACACAGATTAACTTTGTTATAAAGAAACAAAAAACTATCATATAGATATGTAACCTCTAAATTTATAATACTTATTTTATTTTATTAATGTGTGTTAATATTAAAAAAAAATAAGAGAAATTAAAATACTTTCGATTATTGAAGTGCCAGTAGAATTGGAGGTTATTTCAATTACTGGCTATTATTACCCGATTTCTTCTGCTTTTTTGAGATAAAAGATAGCTACATAGGCTAGGTCTCGGGATATCTATCGTCAGGTCATATCTCATCCGATCCGTTCAGTACTGAAAAGGTAATAAACAGACGACTTTGGAATTTAAATATTTATTTATTTCCATATCATAAAACAAGTAGCTCTTGCTGTCTTTCGCTTAGATCTTTAGATTTCGGATTTTAATACAGTTTTCAGCAATACAGTGATTCAAGATGATGGTTTATATCACCGATAAGATAATGGTTTATATGTATAATCTATGCAAATTTATAATACAGAAATGTTGAGAAATTAAAAAAATTGTGGATCCGTGCGGAGGTCTATGGCCGATAGTCCAGAGCGGGACGCCAGTATTAGTATTATATACGAGTATATAGTTCAGTATTAGTAGTCTCTATAGTAGATTATTATATTTTTTCAATGTTTCTTTTTATCTAACCAACCTGGCCATTTTATTCGTTATCTGGGATTAGTTACCAGCGGATATGATTTTCTAATCTCGTCGCTTTGATGTGACGTCAAATGAAAATTGAGCCGAACAATGTAGACAGGTATATGAATACAAGCTTATGTTGGATTATAATTATTCGACAATAATGATCATAGCAACGTCATCTCAGTGGCATAAACTACGTCACAAGAATTTAACGATTTATATACCTTCTCCCGTTCTTGTCACAGGCGATCACATTTTGGAGGCTCACCCCTCTTAAAATTGAAACAACATTTACAATTATTCGAGAATTATGATGATAGCACCGTCATCTCAGTACCATAAACAACGTCACAAGAATTTAATGATTTTTAAACCTTTTCCCGTCCTTGTCACAAGTGATCACATTTTGGAGGCGCACACCTCCCTAATGTGACGCGCATTCTTCTACAATACTCCAGTAAACGAGGAGATGAATTTGTTATATTTTTAAGTTTTACATTAAAAGGTCAAGTATGGTATTTTTTAATTTTCGTGTTTAATATAAATAATTAAAAAATATATAGAAATTCATCTACCTATACGTTTGGCTCGGGGGCAATTAGGTGTTTGTTTTCCGCTATATGAAAAGTTTTAATGAGAGATTTAATATTAAATAGGAATCGTTTTTTGTCTTTATAGTTACTATTCTTAAAACCATTTCTAATCTATAAATGCCACAAACAAATACGTGCAACACAAAATTAATTCATCAATTATAACAACAAAAATCACTCACCCGTCCAAAGTTTAGTAGAAGATTAATATTCGTCAATTGAAATAGATTTAAAATTAAAGTATACCTCCTAGGTGGGTGTCCAGGTTGTACTGACCATGATACTATAAGCCAAAGTCATTATGAACTATATTTATATTGCACAACATTTTTTTGTTGTTGTGCAAATGATAGCAACTTGCACAGTTGAACAATGCAGACCGTCAAAGTATGTTGTTTTAAGTACTCCTCAGAGACATAAGTTTTATTTTTATATGAATGAGAAATGAGATGATGAGATATTAGTATTTATGATACAGATTACAGAACAGAGCTGTTCTCTGAGTATAAATGACCAATATTTGATATTATGTACGTTCTAATGTTGGTACAGTTTTTGCAGTGATACAGTTTGTACAAAGTCGTTTGCGTGGGTCCTGTCACATATTTCTGCCGCCAAGCAGCTTTTTTAGTCAGTTTTTTTATACTACGACGTTGGCAAACAAGCATTCTGCCCATCTGACCGTAAACGGTTACTGTAGCCTATGGACGGCTGAAACACCAGGGGTGTCACGTGCGCGTTGTGTATCATACCCGAGTTATACATACTGCCGTTGACATATATTGATTTAACAATAACGTGATCATAACAATAATAAGCTGCCATTCTCAATGCTCAATGGATAATTACGTGACATTTGTGGATGTCCATATCAATATGTGTCTCCAACAATTAGTGTAGTAGTATCAGGTCATTATGTGTGTCACTAAATGTTGATTGATGTCATTAAGATAATTATAAATAATACAGTATTATCTGTATATCATATTAGAAAGTATTTGAGATGTTTTTCCCAACTTTGAAATCGAACTTGCTTTACTTAAGCATTTTTTTAAAATATAATTGCATTTGAGATGTTTTGTCAACATTCATGATACCACTTGTTGCCATTCCAGAAGACTAAGATATCAAGTCTCTCATCGTAATCATAATTTCACTGCCTACAACCGAAATACAGCCTGCAATTTATATAACAAATTGCTTTCATATATAAAAGAAGAAAACAAATTAAGTAAATTCGTTAAATTAATGAATATGCTTCTTTACTTCATAATAAACTAATTAAATTATCACAGCATTAATGAATATGTGGAAGATACAATACTCTTTATATAGTGTGTATATATATATCTCTCTCTCTTATATTGCTATGCCTGAAAAGGCACATGTGTAAGTTTTATCATCATCATGATCATCTTCGCAGCCCGAAAGACGTCCACTGCTGGACATAGGCTTCCCCCAAAGATCTCTACGACGATCAGTCCTACGATGTAAGTTTTATACTATGTAATTATGTTTAATATTAGAATATGTAAAACAATAAATAAATAAATACAAAGAAAGCTCTTTGGCGGCTGAAATAGGCACACACCTTTACACAGTCTACCTTTTCACAGTCTACCTCTGGTAAGTTAACAAAAATAAAAGTTCTTTTACTTTCAAATAGTACTATAACTATTCACTATCTAACCTAGCATTTATAGTATTGCAAACAATACGAATACTACACTATAAATATCATCTCAACAGCTCAGTACCTAGGAATAGCAACGCATGAGTGGTACCACGGAACATGACTTGACAACGTGCATGTAAATATATGATCCAAGATTGAGAATTTTCATCAGGTGGTTCTTACACAGATGGTTTTGCCAGTCCAGTTAAAAAAAAACTCCTTTTCCAACCCAAATTTTCATTCCAGTGCTGCAAAGTTTTCTGAACATGAGTGACTCATACCTAATAGACCCAAATTTGTATTTTATTCCAGAAGGACGCAAAGGTTTTCTCAAAACTAATTAATAACAGATACTCATTGACAATAACAGATTCAAATTTGAATTTTATTCCAGAACAAGCAAAGGTTTTCTCAAAATTAATTAATTTGGGTATATTGAGTGTCTACTCATTAACAATAACATACCCAAATACATACACATCAAATAACAACGTAGACATTCAGATAGTACGTAGAAAGAATTGTTTTGTTACTTATTTTCCTTATAACAAGAAAACATGTGTATTATGTTATTATAGTTTATCTAATGCGCAGATAAGTAAGAGTGATAGCTAATTCCTGTTCCTATATCTGCATCGTTTGTACACAAGCAGTCTTCTATGCTATTCTTCTTATTGGATAAGTTCTTGACAGAATGGTCGTAGTCATTATGTAGTGGGGTAAGAGGCTGATGTCATTCCCTGTACCTACTACAGCTCACCATTTGTCTCTACTAGCTGCCAGTCTGGAATGGACCGTCTACCGCTGTACCTTATGTGTGATACATATTAGATGGATCATTAGAATACGACAACGTCTATTATATCCTGACCAAGAGTTATCTAAACCTATTGGTGACGCAGCTGGAATCGAGTTACAACACGAGCTTTAAAGAGTTCGTGGTCTAGGTTCCCACCAATGGGCTGTCCACCATCATGAATGTTATATAATTAAGTTACTTGAAGCCAATAAATGAATAAATAAAAAAAAATCCAACTTTAGGTTTTACAAGTAATAATAAGTTTAGTTTTCCTATATGCATTGAATCAGTTTTTTTCGAATAACAAATGAGATTTTTGTTTATGTAAATTTGTAATTAAGGCAAACAAGCTGGCGGTTCACTCAATTGTACTTTCAACTATGTATATCATCATCATATAGACTTGACCATCACGTCATCATGTAACGGACCATTTCAGACCAAGATGTCTTGACTCTCTACCCAGAAATTTGCCAATCTTCACTCATATTTCAATCGAAACACGTCTTACAAACCAAGCTAATGACGGCTAAAATAATTGTGACCGAGGCAAATGACTTTGTACAAAAGTGTACCTCGGTAAAAAACCATACATACCTAAAAAACTCACAACGAAGTCAGAACTGTACATATTTTTAGAAACGTTAATGAATGTTCTTAAACTGTACTTGATTTGGCAGTGCATATATTAAAATTGGAACTATACAGAGTAGATTAGCATGGCTCATACTCAAGAATGAATTGCAAAATCGTGATGCTTTCCTTATTTATTTAAGTATATCTATCAGTTGTCTAGTACCCATACAAGCTCTGCTTAGCTTGGGACTAGATGGTGTTGTATGAATTGTCCATATTATTACTATAATTATAATTTTCTCTGTTTCTGTGATCTTCGTTTTTCTATCTATACGAAGACCCTAGAATGTTGAAAAATACTTATTAAATTAGTTGTTATTTTTTATAGATATATAGATACAACTAGAGACAAGTAGAATTAACTATTCTGTATATATTAACAATTGGGTTTACAAAATAAAAATAAAATCCTTTCTAAGGATAATATTTTTTATTACGAGAACGAAATCGTAGGCATCGTGAGTACTTATATAAATGCCCCAGAAATAACTACGATAATTCAAGTAGGTGGGTAATTAATGAACTGGGTTACGTATGTACTTGCATAATACAAATTATATTATAGAGTACAGGTGCAATAGAAGATTTTTATCTAAATTAGTTTTTACATCGATTTTATTGTCATAAAATAAATCTTTTTAAATGGCCTACTACCAGTAGGAGGTTCCCTGGAACGACGATAGATCATCTCGTATGTAGCAAAATCATGCTGATTTCTCATCACCGAAACGATTTTGTAGTATAAACCTAGATTGTAATGTGTGTAGGCAGTTTAAAATAAATAATGACTCAAAAATAAATAATGAACATGTCACCTTCAAATTAAACGTGTATTCATAGTTAAAGATATTGCCGGTATTTTAAGTGTTTGTGGTTGCAGGTAAACAATAATAAGTTGGAAGTTAGCCAAGAATTAGCTACAAAATGTTGACACCCATCCGATTATCGTCACTGCAATTGTGTTATTTTAATTCGCGGTGTGTCATTTAAGTTGATTGTTAAAAATAGTTTCAATTTGTATTCGTAGTAAGATTCTTGAAAACAGCTGATGAAAATTTCAATCCTTCTGATAGAAATTGGTCACTGTCGGTATATACATTGACATTGAGGGTGACGCAGCCGAAGTCCAGTCGAGTCACAACGTGAGTTTCCGGACTATGGCCCGTGTGCTGCTAATATACTTCCACCTTCTACCCACCTTCATTAAGGAGGACTACTGGCCGAAGGGAGTGGTGTATCGGCGCTACCGTGAGAGAGCGCCGTCGTCAGTGCTCTGACCACAGAGACAATTTTATATTTATATTATAATATTAATTCATACGTAAGTTAGTCTATAACACTTTTACAATATGGGTCATTTGAGACTGAAATAAATATATAAACTATATACCTACAAACACCCCCATGTAATCATGCCGTCATGTGACAGCCTACATGTTACACACTCTGCTTTGCTATTTCGGCGAAGTAAGCCGTTATACATTTATACCCTATCATTTCCCAATCTTCTAAACATCGTGACTTCGATCAAGTAATTATCAAAAGGTTTGTTAATGTCTAATTTCATTCTGATTGACTCACCCTCGATGGAAACATCGTTAACAAACTAAAATTTATGTTACAGATGGCGGTCATTTGCCTCCCGTGTAACGTTTGATTCATATATAAATCGGAGAAATGTGGGTATGTCAAGTGTTGTGTTCACTCACCAATGACGTCGCAATTCACAATCTGAACGTCTTGTGGTTATCTTAATCTTAATTATTATAAACCCGAGTTCAGTCCATATATTTGTTACTCTTTCACGCAAAAACTACAGAGCGGATCTTGATGAAGTTTACAGTAATATAGCTCATGCATCAGAATAACACATAGGCTATATTTTATACTGAAATTTAACGCGGGTGAAACCGCGGGCATGGCTAGTATGCTACACTTTCTTTTGGAATTATTTATACACATATAAATTGTACATCTAACGAGGCACGAGGTTGGTAACTTATTATTCATACATTCAGAAATATGGATCGTACGGTTAACAGTGACGGCTGTACCAAAATAGAACAGGAATTTAATTTCCGTAAACAACAATATTTTTGGCCTCTGTGTGTCTGTCACGTATTACACTAATTAAAATAGGATTTATACCATAGAGAAATTAACACTACGTTTTCTAACAGCTGGTAATGCCCTAATGGAAATTGAGTCTAAATTAGATAACAACCTTTAATTCTGGTCTCGGTATTCTAGCGGTTCATACCGCCTTACTTCCGATGGTCGCAGGTTCGATTTCTACTTACACCTTTGTATTTATGAGCATGACTGCTAGTAATGGTCTTGCTAGTTCATATTTACATTAAGTATTTACAAAAAATGATAAGTATTATATCAGTTGCTTAATACATATTTTACAAGCATTGTTTATCTTGGGACTTCATGTGTGAATTGTCCTAGGTTATTATATTTTTTTTTTAAATAAAAGTTAACGTAGTGTCATATATATATAGAAGAAATATTTTAATTAAGGTGGGACTGAATATGCAGACAAAACCTTTATATTAAAATGAAGTAAAAGAAACGAAATACGAGTCTCATAGACATGCAAACGATTTTTTGCAAATATTGCTTAAAAAATTGTTACACAAATTTTATTTTGTACGTGTGACGCAAGCCTGATTTATACCTGAATGAGCAGAATATATTTACGTAGAGCTATTTTTATTTAAAACTGGAACAGGTTTTTATCTTTTATATCCCTTTAGGTAGCTTACAAAATTATTTAAATGAGGCTGTGCACCACAAAAAGAGAAATGACTAATAATCTATATTTTGGTAGACTATTTAAATTCTGGGAATTTATAAAACGAAACCAGACAGTTCTACCGGAAGTAGTTTATTTAATTACTACTATTACTTTATGTTTCCCGCGAATTCGTCAGCTTTTTGAGATCAAATCTAAACTATGTCCGTTCTCGTCATCCAATCTCTCATCTCGTCTTTTGTTAAATAGTAGCAGAAGCCTAAGAATAATAAATACGATTGCATGTATAAAAAATGTGAAACAAGTAAAACAAATAGACCCGTTCAGTAACTATCCAACAGACAGATATGGGTTTGTCAAGTCTATATCGAATTTCTAAGGATACACCTGAATTTTAAGATACACCTCTGATGAGAACGCCGTCGTTTGTGCTATAGATTCCTGAAAAACCAGCTTCGGAAAATCCTGGTACACCACGCGACGGCTGACTTTTAGGCTTTCAGGGATCAGCCGATTTGAAGTTTCTTCGATTGCGTCTCGTCCGTGAACGGGTGCAACTGGTGGGGACTGGTCTGTTCGGGTTACGGACATTGATTAGACTATTTCCTTTTGACAAAATTGCAATAGCATATGCTGGTGGTCACTCTATTCTCCCGAATTTGAGTTTCACAATGAGTTTGTATTATAATATAGCTCATTTGAAAAAAATAAGAGATGAGTTAAGTTGAGCTCGAGAGCATTCAGAACTGACGATTTGACATACTCGTATCAAAAGCGTCTGTAATAGACCTACATGAATAAAGATATTTTGATTTGATTGAATGGAATTATGTGGATCTTAAGAAAGAAATGGTGACTTCTGGTGTACTAAACAATATTTATGAGTTGATGACCTAATGAATATTATATCGATTGTTTTCCTCAGATTACATTAATTGGAATATCTTTTCCTCTTTGTTAAACATATTGTTTATACAATTATTTATTGACATGGAATTTTATATTTTTTCTTCACTTGCCACTTCTTAGCAATAGTTGCTTAATTACTTAATGCATTGTAGTTCTCATTAGTGGAAAAAACTTCCGTTCCCAATTACATCGACACTGACGCATTTAAAATACCCATCACAGAATTATCCGAGTCCATGTACTTAATAACTATACTGATCAAAGTTATCATTACATCAAACTACACATTAGTTTCTGCTTTTGTACTGACGACATAGACCTGAGAGTGATTAATATTAGTAACCCTGGACAATGCACAGAGCGTCATCTAGCCCCAAGTTGTGGGTTCCAGACAACTAATATAAAAATACTTAAATATATTCTTTTTCGTAAATATATACATAATATACATAGAAAGCACCCAACACAATGCAAACAATCATACTCAATAATGCCAATGTTTGCACCTCGTGAGGAAATTAACTAGCGACCATCGGAAGTCAAGTGGCGTGCTAAATCGCTAGACTATTGATGTCATTGTTGAATAAAGCATCCTAGTTTGAAGGGTTAACTCATATAAATATGATGACATCATACTGTGTTTTTTATATGAAGCGTCTTTCTTAGTCTATTCATTTCTAGTTCTGTTTCCTTTCACAGTAATATAAATGTCACAGTCAATTTTATATGATGTTTGTGGTGCTGTTTATACAGTCTGTTTGATATGCGGTTTGTACATGACGTATACCACTTGTAGGATAGTTGGCGCCATAATTATTTTAAAATTCGAAACAAATATTTCCAAATTCAAAATTGTGATTATTCGATATTAAATATTAAAATTAAGCAAATATGCCATTTCACTTAAGTCCGAAAGTTGTTACTTTATTTTGCACTTAATTACAATAATCCGAGAGTCTATTTCTTTAATTTATATATACAATATTCTGGTCGATCTTCACAACAAGAGTAACTGGGAATTGCCAAAGAAATGGCAGCCCTAAGCCAAGTCCCGTTTCCTCTGTGACTCAGATGCGTTGCATCAGGTTCTTTGTTTCGGTATTAGTCAGGAATCCCACACATTCCCGACTCGTGAAGCGTGGTGAAGTAATTTTGTTTTTTTTATTTAATTTTGGAAACTGCAACATACGTAGTCCTTGATACCCATATATTTATTAAAGATTGTCTATTAATATTGGTGTCATCTGTCTTAGAGACACTGATCTAGCAAAAAGAAAAGACTGAAATATATAATGTGTGTATTTTCAAATCTTAATTTATGCTGCTTTTATTATGCCTGCATATAATAATAGTTTACATTTATTTACTTATTAATATGTGTAATTTATATTACTAGCTGTGCCCGCGGTTTCTCCCCCATGAAATTATTCTGTAGGTGTTATTCTGAAGTTTAAGCTAAGCTACA